TCTAATTATTGTCATTTGCATAGGTCCAGCATAGTCCTGTGCAATATTTTATTTTTTCAGTACTATTAAAATTTTTATTTTTACTTAAAAAATATCTTTGAGATAAAGTTTATATTTAAAGTGAAACCATCAACATAATCAAGACAAGATATATATATATATATATATATATATATATATATATCTAGCACTCCAGAGTTTCTTTGTATCCATTTATAGTTCTTCCTCCATGCTCCCTCCCACCTCCCCCTGCATTCCAGGCAAGCACTGCTCTGTTTTCTGTCACTATAGTTTAGTTTACATTTTTCCTTATTTTTATATAAATGGAAGCATACAACATGAATCTTCTTTGCTGTTTTTTGGGTTTAAATCTGTTGTCTTTCACTCAGCATAATTCTTTTGGGATTCATCCATCTTTTTATGTGTATTAGTAGTTGATTCCTTTCTGTTGATGAGTAGTATTCCATTGCTTGGCTATACCACAGTTTATTCATTAATTGGCTGCTGAACATTTTTGTTGTTTCCAATTTGGGGCTGTATAAATAAAGATGCTGTGGACATTTACATGTAAGTCTCTTGGGTGAATACCTAGGAATTGAAGGATTGGGTCATGGTAGGTATATATTGAACTTTCAGAGAAGTGGCTAAACTGTTTTCAGAAGTGGTCGTACCAGTATACATTCCCAGCATCATTTTATGAGAGTTTCAATTACTGTACATCTTCACCAACATTTGTTATGGTGAGTCCTTATAAATTTAGACACCTATGTAGTTGTATAGTGGTTTCTCAGTATGATTTTTTTTTTAAAGATTTTATTTATTTATTCATGAGAGACAGAGAGAAACAGAGGGAGAAACAGAGGGAGAAGCAGGCTACATGCAGGGAGCCTGACGTGGGACTCAATCCCAGGTCTCCAGAATCACCCCTTGGGCTGCAGGTGGCGCTAAACCACTGGGCCACTGGGGCTGCCCTCAGTATGATCCTAATTTTCATTTCCCTTATGACTATTTAATATTGAGCATCTTTTCCATGTGTTTATTTTTTTTTTTATGTTTGTTTTGGTGATTGTCTTCAAATCTTATCCATTTTTATTGTTTGTTTTTTAATTTAGTTTTCAGAGTTCTTTATTTTGAATATTGGGCATTTTTATCAGAATTATGACTTATAAGGATTTTCTCACAGTGAAAAGGCTTGCCTTTTCATTCTCTTAACAGTGTAATACAAAGAGCAGAAGTTCTTAATTTTGATGAAGTCCAGTTTTTCTGTTTTTCTTTTACAGATAATGCTTATATTCCGTGTAAAATATTTTTTTATAAACCTAAGGTCATAAAGATTTTTCTTGGTATTTTTTCCTAACAGTTGTATAGTCTTATGCTTTACATCTATCTCTAGACGTACACTAAATGGATATGAATTTTTGTATAATTTAAGATATGGGTGAGTGGGGGTTGCATATAGATATCCAGTTTTCCAGCAGCTCCATTTGTTGAAAAGACTATTTCTTTCCTCAAATTTGGAAGCATTTTGACTATTACCTCTTCAGATTATTTTTCTTTGCCCATTTCTTCTGTCCTTTGGTGACATCACTTCCACATATATTAAGCTCTTTGAAGTCCCATTGCTCAGTGATACTCTTCATTTATTTCAGTCTTTTTACTTCCCTTTTTTATCTTTTTTTTTTTTAAGATTTTATTTATTTATTCATGAGAGGCACAGACACAGGCAGAGGGAGAAGCAGGCTCCATGCAAGGAGCCCAACATGGGACTTGATCCCGGGTCTCCAGGATCACACCCTGGGCTGAAGGCGGCGCTAAACCGCTGAGCCACCCAGGCTGCCCCCTGTTTTTTAATATTTTTTTTTCCATCTCATATAGTTTGGTTTTCATCTCCAGAAATCTAAATTGAGTCTTTTTTATATCTGTCGTGTTTCTACATAACATGGCTAGTCCTTCCTCTAGCTTCCTGAACATAAGAATACAATATGTAAAAAACAAAACTAAGAAAAACAATATGTAAAGTTAAAATAACTATTTTAATGTTTTTATCTAATTCAATCATGTTTATCATTTCTGGATCACACTTAATTGATTTTTCTCTGCATTTTATATTTTCCTGCTTATTTGCATACCTGGTTATTTTTGATTGGCTGTTAGACATCATGAATTTTACCTTGTTGAATGCTGGATACTTTTGTACTCAGAAAATTCTTAAACTTTGTTCTAGGATACTTAGGTTAACTGGGAGCAGTTTGATCCTTTCAGATCTTGCTTTTTAAGCTTTGTTAGGTGCAATCAGAGCAGGATTAAGTTTGGAGCATAATCCTTTTGACTACTCAGTGCCTCATGAATTGAGATTTTTCTACTCACTTTGATGAGAAAAGAAATTTTTCTCACCGTGTATGACCTGATGATATTGCTCCTTACCATGCTGGTTCTTTACCTTACTGAATAGTTTCCTCATATCCATGCACTGATCAATATTCTGCTGAAGACTGGAGGGGAGTGCTCTGAAGTTCTTGAGTGCAACCTTTTCCTCACTGACTACTCTATTTTGTATGCTGCAACCACCTGATCTCTCTGGTCACCCAGCTCATCTCCTCAACTTGGAGACCACCAGGCTCTACCGAGATTCTTCCTTCCTGAGTTGCAACCTGGGAACTTGTTCTGTGCAGTTAGCAGGGGCAACTGAAAAGTTCATGCTGTTTATTTCCATTTTTTAGAGATCACGGACTTCATTGTCTGATGTCTTTAAAAAATGTTTTGTAAAGTTTTGTCCAATATTTTAATTGTTTTAGGTTGGAGGGTCCTTTATTCATCTTAGTGAGAAGCATGAGTCATTTTATCTTATTTTAAAGATACCATAAAATTTTTAAATTTAATTTTTAAACAGGTGAATCATTCCCGTGGTTGAAAATTCAAGAAATATAAATAGGTATTCAGTTGAAATCTCTCTCCTAATCCACTAAAACCTAGTCCTCATTCCTCATAAGAAACCATGCTATTAGTTTATCTTTCTAAAGTTTCTTTATTCATATGCAAGTAAGCAAAAATTATATATTAATCCTATTCCACCTCCTTTTCAATGAAAAGATTACATAGTATATACACTCCCCCCCCCCCACACTTAACCCTGTATCTTTAGATCTTTCCTTATTGGTACATAGACTGCCTCTTGACACACATCACCGCCTCCCCATCCTTTTTAATAGCTGCATAGTATTATATCACATAGATTTATCATTTATTTAACCAATTCTGTATTATTGAACAATTAGGTTGCATCCAATCCTTTTCTACCAGGAACACTTTAGTAGTTAATACTCTTGTACATAAGTCATTTTGCATATGTCTGAGTAACATTGCTATTTAATACACTACCAGAGGTGGATTACTAGGTGAGATTTTTGCATTTGTAATTTTGATAGCTATTGTCAAATTGTTCTCCCAAGGGGACTGAACCAGATCCTCCACCAACCTATTAGAAAAAAACTTATTGGCCCATAGTCCTATCTATAGAATGTTATCAGATATTTGGATTTCTGCTAATCTGACAGGAAGAAGATATCATCATATGGTTTTAATTTATATTTCTATTCTGAGTCATGTTGAATACCTTTTGTGTTTTTTTTTAATTTTTTTTAATTTTTATTTATTTATGATAGTCACACACAGAGAGAGAGAGAGAGAGAGAGAGGCAGAGACACAGGCAGAGGGAGAAGCAGGCTCCATGCACCAGGAGCCTGACGTGGGATTCGATCCCGGGTCTCTAGGATCGCGCCCTGGGCCAAAGGCAGGCGCCAAACTGCTGCGCCACCCAGGGATCCCCTACCTTTTGTGTTTAAAAGTCATTTGTGGTGATCTCTCAGTGGCTCAGTGGTTTAGTGCCTGCCTTTGGCCCGGGGCATGATCTTGGAGTCCCGGGATCGAGTCCCACATCGGGCTCCCTACATGGAGCCTGCTCCTCCCTCTACCTACGTCTCTGCCTCTTTCTCTCTCTCTCCCCCCCGACCCCATGTCTCTCATAAATAAATAAATAAAATCTTAAAAAAATTTTTTTAAAAAGCCATTTGTACTTCCCATTCTCTGTTCAGTCTACTTTAGATTATTGGTTGGTCAGTTTTTTCTTTAGTGATAAGAATATAAGATTGAAAAATTTTAGTAAATTGTGTTTAGTAACTTCTTAATAATGAATGAACCGTTAACATCCATAGTCTATTAGTAAAACACTTTACAATATACTTGATAGAATATAATTATACTAAATCTGGTCAAATCTCTAATGGTTTTAAGGTCATTATAAAATCTTGAGAGCAAAGGTTGTGTTAATTTATTTTCCAGACAGATTTTATTTTATTTTATTTTGTACTTTATTTTATATTTTATTTTATTTTATACTTTATTTATTTTATTTTTTTCCGACAGATTTTTAAAAGTCAAAGTAAAACCAGGCTAATCTGAGTTTTCAAGTATGAGAATAATGTTCTAAAATTAGTTTAATAAATGAAATAATAAGAACTGTTCCTCTAGAAATCCTTTACATTTGAGAGGTGTATTCCACAAATAATGACATTTCCAGAATAATTTAATGGGAGTAAGGGAATAAATATTTGAAATTTAGACTATCTCAGAAAATCAGAACTTATGGTTACAAAATGTATGTTGTCCCACAGATAAGAATGATAAACACATTCCTAGTTAGATGACAGGATGCTCTTACTATTCATTTGATGCAGCTTTCTTGAGTAGTAAGGAGTTTCAAGTATTTTTACAATTTTGCATACCCATCCTTTTTCTCTGCCTCATCTCAAACACCTCTACCTTTTTGCTTCTATTATTTATAATTTTCAGGTGTTATACCCTATGGACGATTAATGAGGGGAGTAGTTACTTTACCAAATGAGTGAAGTAACAAAATGGGCCAGTAGTTTGTTTATATTTTGTTAATTTATTGTCAGTTTAAAAGTCTGGCTTTATTTATGCAATGAAAAATATATTTTTAGAGTTGCATCAATATGGAGAGGCATCCAGCACACGTCCGTCAGGTATGATGTCATTCCAGGACATTCTCTGGTATTCCGTTTTTCTGTCTTATCAGCCAACTAAATTTACCTTGATTAAATAAACTTAATAATTTGGGTTTTTTTTTTTCCATTGCCAAAACATTGAGCTGCATGCTATTGTCCAGTTAGCCAGTTGTCACGTTTTAGCAACCTTAATATTGCTTGTATGCTTGCTTTTTAGATATATCTAAAATTGTATATCAAAAAAATTATTAGCTTACTGATTTTTAAAATAATTAGTCTTTCCAAAGTTACTGAAAATTTTCTGAATGCTTTCTACCACAATCATCTAATTGTAAATAACTAAAATTCTGTCACATGTTCCCAAACTTAGTTACTTTAAAATTGTCTTAATATGCATCCATCACATTACATTGTACCACACTAATAATATAATGTATCTGCTTGTGTTACTTGAGTATATTGTTTCGTTACATTTACAGAAATATAATAACAATGTTATTTTGACTAATTTTGTGCTCTTCTGCTTGTTAAAATTTGTTTACCTGCTGATTAATGCCAAGTTAATTCTTCAGTAGATAAAATTTGAATTCTTATAAATATGCATGAAAAAGCTTTAAGGAAGTAATCTGAACTTGCCATCAAATACTGAAAATGCGTAACTTATTAGAATTTAAAGTGAAATAGCAAAATATTCCAGTTATTGGAGCTAATAGTGGTAACTGGCATACTTTTATTATTAAAACGTATTTAAAAGAAATTTGTATAGTTTAGTGAATTTAAATTGAGAATTAGTTCCAAGGCCTTTTCAGTGTTTTTCTTAAAATTAATTTAATGCTAATTATTTAAGTCAGAGCAGGATGATTTCAAAAAAGTATTTACCACACTAGCTTTGGCCACCGTGAATCTGTGTGATCATAAAAAATATATTACTAGTGATGAAATTTGGGTTTTTAATTTTTTTTAAGTTACTAAATATATTTCAGGTCTGACCTCAACATGAACTTTCATTGTTAAATTTTGGTCTTAGGGCTCTTTCAAAAAGTTAAAAAAAAAAAAAAAAAAAAGTCCTATTATATCTGAAATATATGCCTTAAATCAGCTGCATATATTGTTTCTGGGGGTTAATCAGAAAGAGGCATTTAATTGCATAGATATTACACAACGTTAGTTGGAAAATCGTGAAAAGATTTGGAGAAAGTGTCAGAATGGTAGAGTAAAATGATTGTTGATTTAAGATTAGACATTAAAAAGGAAACAAAATTTTAATTGTACTAATATTTATATCTTCTTTTCTAATGCCAAATTATTAATGTCTAATCATTGATTTTTATTTGAGTAGAATAAGTTCCTTACTAAGTAAATTGTCAATTACAATTAAATAATAGTGATTTGAAAAAGATTTCAAAAATCTAGTGACAACTGATACATCTCTACTACTTTAAATTGTGCTGTGTGTTTTAGGTGTTTGTGAAATGTCATTTTGATTATAATCCATACAATGATAACCTGATACCCTGCAAAGAAGCAGGATTGAAGTTTTCAAAAGGAGAAATTCTTCAAATTGTAAACAGAGAAGATCCAAACTGGTGGCAGGTTAGTATGCTTCTCATAATTTCCTCAGCTGCTTTTTTATTTTCAATCTTAGATCTGGCCAATATCTGAATACTCAGAAAGAAGGTATTAGCATTTGTTTAAATCATTTTTCCTGCATGAACAGCTCCTGCTTCATGGCTGCTAATTTTGTGGACAGAAGAGCAAATTGAGAGGGAATTTGTGAGTAACTGTTAATGCAGAATTAACTAGCCTATGGAGGTATTCTGTTGGTTTAGGGATTAGAACAGTTGGTTCTTCACATGAGTGATTGCGGTCAAATATGGCATTGGGCAAGAACAATGCACTTGGGGTCATCCCTTCTCAGTGTTCGTTGTTTGTTTAATCTAGAAGTCTTTTATTATGTGTATAGTAGTGTCTCTATATTGTCTCCCTCTATATACATTCATGGCAAATAAAAAATACTTTATTAGGCTCTTACGTCTGTTTCCCCACCTCTTCTCAGTTACTGAGAAATGAAGGTTTGCTTTATGATTAGTGTTAGTTGGTCTTGGATTGAAATCTGTGTATATGGAAAGGAATATATGTTATCACTGTATTTTCCTCCACTTCATTTTCTAAAGATCTCTGCAATCATGTTTTGTTTACTTTCCCCATAGTACAGCTTTCAGGAATCTCTAACAGCAGAATTAAATCTGTTTTTGTAATTGTTTACACTGGCTAATACCCACAGTATTCAGAGCTAGAGAAACTGACAAAGTCTAAAATCCCTTAAACTGTCAGAACAAGTGAGATTCTCATTTAAAAGCAAGGTGTAAGAAGAAAGGACCCAGAACCCAGCCCTAACTCTAAATTAAATGGAAGTATTAGTAACTCACGTTAGCTCTGTAAAGTTATATTGACTTCTAAGGAGGAATGAATGACAAGAATGAGAACAATCCCACTAATGTGTCCTTAAATTTAAATTAAGATATTATTATGTACAAGTGCATTTTGCAGTGAGAGAACTAAAAAATAGGTAAATTAAACAGAATCCATGATCTCTAGAGGTTTCCACTGAATTTCTTAGAACTCTCATCAAAAAACTTTTTCTGTGGCTGTTTCCTTTATTCAACTTTTCCAGGAAATTTTTCTCTTTTACTCCTTTCTGTGAATGTTATCTCTTAGTTCTGTTTTTCATCCTATCACCATTATTTCAGTCTTTTCCTGCATTTAGTGATCTGTTACTTTAATTCTGTTTTTTAGGATTCTAATGGCTAAAAATGATACCAGATTTTTCAATGCAAGTTGTAAAGATAAAAGACCCTAACTTTGTGGAATATAAGCCATTAGTAGCCAGTTCTTTAGCCACTATTTTAAAACAGCACATTTTTGGATTTCAAAATTCAGTTTCTTGACAGTAGATGTAATTTTACCTATTTTAAACTTAGGATATTCAGATTCTGTCTCTCTAGTAGGCCTAAGGTTGACAGTAAATACCTTACTAATGGTGCTAATGAAACGTCCTTTTAACACATAAAAATTATTATTCCTTTTCATTTGCTGACTAATTTAGCATTATAAATAAAAAGTTGTAGTAATGTAAAGATCCTTCCTTTAAACTTTTGCATTTTGGTCCCAGAATTTCGACACCAAATGGCAGATTGAGCAGGTGCCAGTTGATTCCTTAGCACTAAAATGTTTAAGTATCGTTAACTGACAATGCCATGGATTTAAATCTCAGGGTCAGTTTTGAAGAGCAAATGCAGTATATTTTTACTATTACTTGTCCTACTTATTAGAATATGGTCTCAAGGTTTGGTCACTGAGATATACAATTCATTAATTTGATTCTAGGCTAGCCATGTAAAAGAGGGAGGAAGCGCTGGTCTCATTCCAAGCCAGTTCCTGGAAGAGAAGAGAAAGGCATTTGTTAGAAGAGACTGGGACAATTCAGGTGATGAGCTCAAAACAGTGTGTAACAAGTAGTCCTTTGTGATCACCTTTCTTTTCCTCTTTTCATCTGAATCAGCAAATAAATTTATTTAAAATGTATCTAATCCATCCCATCTACTTTGTTGTATCTCTCTCAAAAGTAAACTTTTTGATCCCTCTCTGCCACCTGCTGGTATAGTTATCAAAATCAGTGGCTCAACTCACTTCTGCCCCCTTCTGCTCTGTAGGACACAACACTAGAAAGGTAATTCTCCCACCCCTATAGAATACCACAGGGCAGTTTTATTATATTCTGACATACTGTTTTAAGTTATATTTGTCTTGTAACCCTTCAGGACCTTTTTGTGGAACCATAAGTAGCAAAAAAAAGAAAAAGATGATGTATCTCACAACCAGAAATGCAGGTATGTTTTAAATCCCTTTGGAAAGTCCAAGTGAGATAGCTTTAATCATTAATTAATGTGGCATAAACTCTGAATATATAATTTTAAATGAAAGTAATTCAGATTAATACCCAACTGAAAGGGGATGTCACTTGAAAACACGGTACAATATAATATGAAGACATTGTTTAAATCTTGATACTGTATATACTTGTACTGTCACCAGAGTGGTTTGTGGGTTTTTTTGTTTTGTTTTGGGTTTTTTTTTTAGGTATAGTTTACAATAAAATGAATTGGTTAGGATTTATGCTTGTATTAATGAAGGAACAGTATTAATACTATTTATTTCATAGAACCTTGAATGGTAATTTTTATATCATTTCTAAAGAAATGCCTTGATGAAGATACTAAAAGAGATGATTAAGAGCAGCTATATCTTGCCTTAACATTGTCCATGATAGTTTTGGGAAAATAACACTGGACCAAACAAATCTTAATCTGATCTAGTAGGATTCTCTCTTAAATCTTTTAGACTAAAAAAAAGGTAAATATGACAACTACCATAGTTATTCTTTTCAGTTCTAGAGGCTGACAGGCACAAAATGCAGCTCTTTGAATGAGAAAGCCTTCTGAAAGGAATTGACAATTTTAAAATACTTTATAGACTTCAGAGCTGCCTCTACACTTGTAATAAAACTAGCACACTATAACGGAAATAATAAAATAAGGGGAAAATAGACTTTCCCTTAATGTTGTTGTAATCTGTGGAGAAATTATGCAAAGAAAGAGTTACTATTAAGATAATCACCTAAGGAGGAAGTGTTATTACTGCAGATTGAGAGTTATAACTAATAACAGGTAATATACTATTTCAAACCCACTTTGGCCTTATTATTCATTATATATGAATTATATATGAAGGATATATATACTTTACAGCTTTCTTGCAAAATAGAAAGCTTGCTCACTAAGATTTAATTTTGGAATGTGTTTTGACAAAATAGTTTGGCTCCAACATTTTAAATATAAATTCAGAATCTTAAAATTTAGTTGTCAGCATGTTCAAATACATTTATTTAATCAAACTGGTATTTGCTAACTCAGCATGCAGTATTTATTCATTTATACTATTGGATGGGCATACTCATTCTATGGGACTTACTGAAGCAGTCACACTAGGTGTACTGCCATCTTTTTTATATCTGATATACACTAGTTGGCTGAACAAATTACATAAGCTAATTTGTAATTTGATTATATATATTAAAGGAATTATTTCTAGTGATGAATTGATAAGGTTTAAGTGGATAGAATATGTGATGAAGGTAAAGCACAGGTATTTTCTAGCTTAGACAAATTTTTGAGAGCAAATAGATGGAAACAGATGTTTAAATCAAGATATAAAATAGTTTATTGTACTTTACCAATATAAAAATGATTTTTAAAACTATTTTAAAAATGAATTTATGAAAACAAATCTCTAGTGAGTATAATTCAAGTGATATTTACCTATCCAACAACTAAGCCCTTATTGAACAGAATTGCAGAAGTTTTTCATCCATCTGAAAGATAACTGAATATGATGATTTTCCATTTCCTTTTATATTTAGAATTTGATCGTCATGAAATCCAGATATATGAGGAGGTAGCCAAAATGCCTCCCTTCCAGAGAAAGACATTAGTATTGATAGGCGCTCAAGGTGTGGGACGAAGAAGCTTGAAAAACAGGTTCATAGTGTTGAATCCCACTAGATTTGGAACTACAGTGCCATGTAAGTTTTCTTTGCTGTTTAATTGAAGTCAAAGAGTAGGGTAGGACAGATTATTATTTTTATTCCCGAAGGGTTTTTTTTATTTATTTTTTTTTTTATTCATAGAAACAGAGAGAGAGAGGCAGAGACACAGGCAGAGGGAGAAGTGGGCTCCGTGCAGCGAGCCTGACATGGGACTTGATCCCGGGTCTCCACTATCATGCTCCTGGCCGCAGGCGGCGCTAAACCGCTGCGCCACTGGGGCTGCCCTCCCGAAGAATTTTTGAATATGCCAGTGAAAATAAACAAGTAGAAGATCCTAAAAAACTCAGTGACTCTACAGCTTTCTTGAAATAGTTAATAGTTAAGTCCTGTCAGCTTGTTGCCCAGTGGGAGTTGCTTCTCCAAACTTTTTAATCCAGAAATGGTAGTTAAATGCAAGTATTAGGAGTTTTAGCAGAATCATTATTAACTTTGTATTTTGTACAACTGATGTTTATGTGAAAAGTTATATTTTTTAACCCATTTTAGCCAAAAGAGGGAAACCTGCTGAATCCTCAGACCGCCCCCCCCCCCAATGTGGCCATCCCTTTGTGAATTTTGTGCATTCTCCCTTGTAGCTCTGTCCTACAAGATCATAAACCTGATTTTTGATAGCACATCAACAGTGATTCATCTTCCTGAAGCATTAATTAAGGTCACAAAGGTTGACATAAAATAAAAATAATAGGGATGGGAAGCCTAACTATTAAGTGAACTAAACATTCATTTTATGATCTTTACATTCTTTCCATATTTGCATATTTATGTGGAAAATTAAGCAGTAATGTCAGAAGTATACCTGATAAGAATAGATCACATCAAGAAGTTAGATGATGTCATAAACTTGTTATGAAGCCTAAAGCACATTTGTCTTTATTTTGTAAACGTATGGGCCTTTGCATATGGGAATTTACATGCTTTCTCCCCTGAACAATGCAGGAGACAAGCCAGCGTTGCCCTTATAACTCCCCTTTCTGTGTTTCTTCTATTGCTGACCGAGCCCCTTTTTAATTAATATACCTATTTCTTTAGGTATAGTAATGCCATTAAGCCATTCTGAATTAATTCTTAGCCTAATGTCACTCCATCTCTTTTAGGTGAATTTTAATGTTTCTCTGCTTTCATCTGGTATTTCAAGGTTTTATTTTCAGTGAGTAATCTTATTGCTAAAATTCTTAGGGTTTGGTTGGAGGAGTAATAACCATGTGTTATTTGTAATCTCTTCATGGTAAGGCCTTGGATTCCATTGTAGGCACTGCAAGTCACTAAATTCAGACAAATACTGGTTAAATAGTTAAGAAAATAAAAACCTCTCTATGACCTAAGTATTTTAAGTATTTTAAAGTATTTTGTTTCTCATTTTATCAACTTAATACGTGTACAGTATTTTAATCAAGTAGTTCTTAAAGTTATGTAAATAGAAAAATTAACTGCCTGTGTTGCTTTGGCCTACTTACCAGAAAGAGTTGCTTTTCATGTTTGTTGCTATTTATTTGGTAGTCTTTCATATTTCTTAATAATGTCCTCATTCTGCAATTTCTTGCTTTATCCAATATAAGCTTTATCTTTTCCCACTGACTCACTTCCCAATATAAAAATAAGTCTGGTTTCAGTTCATTGAATTTTACTTTCTTAAACAGCTTCTCCCTCTCCTTCCTTCCATTCAGCAATTGCTGGAGTTCCTTTTTTCTTCCTGTCTTTCCTTGATTTTATGTGTGTATGTGTGTAATTTTTTTTTAAACCAAACTCTCATCCAGTAAGTCATGTTTGTTTTCTTGGAGACCTCTGTCTCAAGAACCATAGACCTTCCTGCTTCAACGAAGATGAGATGCTCTCTGTTCTGTCTGTGCTGCTGTTGACATGGGAGTGTTTCCTTTTGTTGCTCCCCTGGGTTCACAGTAGCCTTATTTTGCTGGGACATATCCTTTTGTAACCTTTAAGAAATGGTGTATGAGGTATAATTTCTTTATCTTTGTATTTGAAGATGTATATTTTCTGTCCTATATTTGATTGATTGCTTAACCAAGAATAGAAATTCGAGATTGTAAAACTCAAAAGATGTTACTCATGAATCCAGTTTTTTTGATGCCACTGCCTTTGTAATCCTTGTTCTTTCATACATGACCTTATTTTTTTTGCACAGACATTCAAGGTCTTTTGTTTGTTTCACTTTGTTGTTTTTCAATATTTTAAAATTTAATAATGGTATTCCTTTGTGTACATCTTTTTTTAATTCATTGTGCTGATGACTAGTGGACTCTTCAGACTAGAGTCTCATGTCCCTCAATTCTGAGAAATTGTTACTTCTTGGATGATTTCTCCATGTTCTCTCTGTTCACTTTTTGTAGAATCTGTTAGCCGGATGTTAAACATCCTGGATTCAGCTTCTCAATGTCTCTCTCTGTCTCTCTTTTTCAAATCATGTTGTCTATCCCTTTTTTTTTTTATCCTACTCTCTAAACAATTACCTTGAGTTTTTCATTTTCTATTCCATTGTTGTTTTATCATGAGTAATCCTATTTTTCATTTTAGGATTTTCTGTTTATTGGTTGTTTTTTCCACAGCATTGTTATTTGTGGGGGCTATATCTTAATGTATCTTTAAGAATAGTACATAGTATATCTTTCTTTAGGTTTTTGTCTATAGCTAAATTACCTCTACTTTCCTCTGGGTTATTTTTTCTGTTTGTGGTATGTTTGTACGTATTTTCCCTTTTATGCTAGAGGATTTCTTTCTTTTATGTACTGATCCTTGGCGGTACATTCATACCTAAAAGTAAGTGTAATAACTGATTGGAAGCTCTGTGTACTTGAACAGATCTGGGTAATTGGCTGAGCTTTATTATATGAGATAGGCAAGGAGAGATCTGTTTTGTTGAAGGAACCAAAAAGTTGGCATAAGATATTTTTGAGGGCACACCTGGAAGGCTCAGTGATGGAGTGTCTGCCTTGCTCAGGTCATGATTTTGGGATCGAGTCCTGCATTGGGCTCCCTGAAGGGAGCCTGCTTCTCCCTCTGCCTATATCTCTGCCTCCTTCTCTCTGCTTCTCTCATGAATAAATAAAATCTTTAAAGTATATATATATTTTTTTGAGGGGAGCTGTTAAATTTTCCAGAGAAGAGTTTTCAGATATCCCTCCTGCTGATACTGTTCTCTAACAAGATGGAGAGAGAAGATATGGATTAACCTGCTCCATATCCATAATTACACCCCCACCTCCAGTTTTCAGCTTCTTGCTTCAAAGTCCTAAATCTCTTTAGTGTTCTGGGGATAAAGTGGTCCAATTCTCATCCATAACTCTCTAACGCTTTATTCTTATTCTTCCTTAATTTCTTTCAGTAATATTTGTAGTTCTCAGTGTACAAGTCATATGCTTTTTTTTTGTCAAATTTATTCCTAAGTATATGTTTTCCTAATTTCCTTTGCAGATTGTTCATTATAAATGTATAACCTTGCTGAATTTATTTGTTGTAATTTTTTTTGCAAATTTCTCAGATTTTTTATATATAAGATCATACTATGTACAAATAGAGATAGTTTTCCTTATTCCTTTAAACTGGGTTCCATTTATTTCTTTTTATTATCTAATTGCCCTGATTAGAACCTCCAGTGCAGCATGGAATAGAAGTGACAAAAGTGGACATCCTTGTCTTGTTCATGGTGTTAGATAACTTATTCAGTCTTTTATCACTAAGCATGATGTTAGCTGTGGAGTTTTTGTAGATAATCTTCCATCAGGTTGGAGAAATTCTCTTCTATTCCTAGTTCATTGACTTTTTATCCTGAGAAGGTACTGGATTTTGCCAAATATTTTTTCTTTATTGAGACAATAACATGATTTTTTTATTCTTTTACAATAATTGTGTTCCTGTGGTAAATCCCATTTAGTTATGGTGTATGAACCTTTTGATATGCTTCTAGAATCAATGTGCTAATATTTGTTGAATATTTGTGCAGCTGTAGATAAGAGACACTAGTCCATAGGTTTCATTTCTTATTTTAGCTAATGTTGATAATAGTGATAGTACTAGACTCATAGATTGAATTGGGAGGTATTCTTTTCACTTATGTTTTTTTGGAGGAGTTTGTAAAGGATAGATGGTTTAGTCTTCTTTAAATGTTTCATAGTTTACCCTTGAAAGCATCCAATCCCAGGACCGTTTTTGTAGGAGGTTTTGATTACTGATTCAATCTTGTTATAAGTCTGCTGGGGTTTTCTGTTTCTTTTTAATGAGTTTCAGAATTTCTGCAGCACCTATGGTAATATCCCCTCTTTTATTTCTGATTTTAGTAATTTGAGTCCTTGCTCTTCTTTTCTTGGTCAGTTTACCTTTTAAAGGTCTGTCAATTTTGGTGTTCTTTAAAAAACTAACATTTGCTTTTTTTGATTTTCTGTATTGGTTTTCTATTCTCCATTTCATTAATTTCTGTGATAGTCCTATTTCCTTTTTGTTTTGGGTTATGTTTGCTATTTTTCCATTTTCTTTGGGTAGAATGTTAAATTATTGGATTGAAATCTTCATTTTTAATAGGCATTTGCAGTTGTAAATTTCCTTAGAAGCAACTGCTTCAGCTGCATCTCATAAGTTTTTGTATTGTGGTTTTTGTTTTCATTCATCTCAAAATATTTTTCTAATTACATTTATGATTTCTATTTGACCCATTGGTTGTTTAGGAGCGTATTGTTCAATTTCCTCATATTTTTTTTAATTTCCCAGATTTCTTCTGTTACTGATTTCTAATTCATTCCATTGTGGTCAGGGAACATTATATGAATTTACTCTTATTAAATTCTCTGGGACTTGCTTTATAACCTCAGATAAGATCCATTTTGGAGAATGTTCCAGGTATACTTAGGAAGGATATGTATTCTGTCATTGGGTGGAGTCTTCTATAGAGGTCTGTTAGGTCTAGTTGGCTTATAGTACTGGTCAAGCCTTTTATTTCCTTGTTGATCTCCTATTTGTTTTATCCATTA